ACCATCCTTGACCTCTACTAAATACCATTTGAGTTTCAGTTACGATTTGTATCTATTTAAATTTAAGTAAAATTATTGTCTACAAATGCGTTTTATCTTCAAGAAGTTATTTATTGGCTTGTAGAATTCAGAAAAATATTTACCACGCCGACATAAAACTATGTTAATTAACCATGTTAATGAATGACTCATGTGACATTCGAAGTTTGAGGTTTTCTACAATGCTGCGAATTTCTATCTATTTGAAATTCGGGGAAATACATCGTGCAAAATTCAAAATTTCTATATTACCTATATTTCTATATTAACTAATTGGAATGCTCACAACAAAGTAGGCTAATTTTATAAACGAGCGAAGCATAAAACTAATGACTCTATTTAGATTATGTTAAAAGTCAAGGACGTGTATCCCATTCCTGCTCTCTCTCTCTCTCTCTCTCTCTCTCTCTCTCTCTCTCTCTCTCTCTCTCTCCCCCTCCCTCTATTATTAGTTTTTCTTTCTAAATATTCTTATTCTTAGAAAGTGATATATTAAACAACTTCGATTGTATTTTATTGGAGTCAATTACTTGATTTACAATTGCGTAAACGATTGTGTCTTACGAGCGTTCGACACGATCGAAAAAACACATAAAAAGAGATCTGTGTCAAGGCCATAAATGGACTTTGCCATACTCGTCTAACATAATACGCTCCCTTTTGAAACTATATTCATGCTGATTGGTTTACGGCTTTACGTTTGGATATAAGCGATAGAAATATCTAATCGAACTGAACTTCAATAATTTCGCTAGTCGTACGATATTTTGTTATTAGGATATTACGATGATAAATGTTGCAACTCATTAGATCGCTATCGGCGATTTTTAATATCATTTTTTCCTTGAAGCAACGTGCGGTCCGAGTTAACGGTCGATCACGCCGAGATGATGGAGCCGCGAAGGTAATGCAGTTTTTTACAGTGTGTTCAGTGTAAATTGTAGCTAGCGCCAACTGCCACAACCTGCATGAAGACTTTCCTTTCCCTAGTGAACATCGTTGGTACAATCATGTTCTGTAGAAATGTTTTGATCGCTTCCTGTAATTATTTAAATCGTATGAAATTTAGCACGCAATGCGAATTCAGAGCACTCATTTGATTATAGTATCACGTATGCATAATTTGTTATACAGTATAATAAGCTTGTCATTATTCAAAAGTGGGTAATAATAATTCGCGCGAGGGCCGAAACAATAATTTCTCAAAGTCTCTTCTTCTTCTTCTTCTTCTTCTACGCATACCATTATTATGAAGAAGTGACAAAATTATTTTGCCATTTCTTTTTAAATTTTTGATAGCCTAAAGTTTTATCAATTTTTATACAAATGCGCTTTAGCTGTTCTTTGTACACGCTATGCCTTTACATACTACGACCTCTTTATGTAAAGCTATTGGTCACAGACACACTTTGAAAACTTATATGTTCGCTCTCTGACAATTCGCACACTGATGCACAATTTATCGTACTACAGCTACACGTGTTCCGTATTGATGTAGCATGGGAATGTTTTATGTTGCACTTGGCACTCATTGTCGTTTTATTTTTAATCAAATAAAGATTTTTCATTTACCCAATCGTTTGCTCAATAGTGTCATCTCGATAAAAATATATCAAGTAAAAATAATACCTATTTTACGGATAAGTAAGAACAATTTTGAACTGATTATTCATTTTTTGTAATTTCCAATAATTCTGATCATGATCTTACTAATTAGTGTCAATCAATTAGTTTCTTCACGAAACATTATCGCGGTTGCACCGAGCTCATGATTATCATTTTATTTTCTGTTGCAAAAAGTAAAAAATGTAACATAACAATTATGCAGATCATACTGAAAAAAAGAAAACGAATTTACATTCAGTTCATGGCATCTTAAACTACGTATAGGTCGTATAGATTTTAAAGTTTCGGACGAGTATCTCATCGTTTTCACAGTGCATGCAGATATTGTAGTATAATGATATATAGCATGTACTGATGCATAACTGGGATTAAAAATATCTTATTGTTTTGTAAATGCATTTACAAAACTGCTGAAGTATCTTGACGATAATGACTGCGTTGTTTTGCGAATACGCACATCCAATTAATTATACATCATTTCCACTCCAAATTCTCCAACGTTTTATTATCAAGCTCAACTAACTGACGTGTAATACCTCGGGCAATTGAATATTATCTACGTATCAGCTGTTCTTTTAACAAATTCCCGAGATTGATATCAGTATCTCAGACCAATCACGCCACACATGACACGAGCATTGGCACGCGATCGGTTTGTTCTTCTCGGTGAGACTGGGTTATCGCTGAGGTTCCCCTTATCGTGAGAAACTTTTTCTTTTCTTCTTTGACGATACACCGTGTTCGTCGAAGAATGGAATTGTTGCAAATTCATCTTCAGTATAGTGATGCCAATTATATAGTGATGCTACGTAGTAGAAATATCCTTTTCCAAGTGGTGATGCGCACAAGAAATACTCTTATCCATTCTACTGACAGGTATTGTGAATGCGACTCGGTTTATTATAAGACATATGTAGTCTTACGTGCCTATATTATCGTATCGCACGTTTATTTCGAGCTTTTATTTAGAAATTATATTTATAACAAACAAGCAGAAATTACGATCAAACTATTCGTTTTATGAATTTATCAAAATAATATATATGTGTATATATTCTTTCTATTTAAACATTTTCCTAAAAAAACAGACATGTATTATATGTATAGATATATCTGCATATATTATATGTATATATAAACTACTATATATATAGTTATATACATATATTATATGTATATATAAATATTATTTTAACATAATATCCAATTATAAAATGTTTTTGCAATGTTTTGACTCACTTAAGGAATATGAAATTATATGATATATGTCATATTTATGATGTTTTTTTTCTCGTGGCAATCTTACAATTTATTAGCTATAATAAGTCTTCTTGATGGATAGATACAAAATGAGAAATTGTAGCTGCTAATTTATTGAATGAATAAATCATCGTCAATTAAAAAATACGATGAAACTATTATCGGTATAATACAATATAAAATTTTAAAAGACAACTCTTCTCTCATTAATTTCCTTAAAAAATTCGACGATGAAATTGATTATAACTTAACGTACCATATATCATTAGCTCAATAATATAATCAACATATGAGAATTTAAAAACTGCAGAAAAATTCAACAGGGATTTTCATAAGTAGAAAGATGTCTCCTCCTATACCAATCTCTTCTTAATTTTTTCCAAAATTTTAAGAAAAAAAAGAAATTGCACTGCCCGGGAATCGAACCCGGGTCGCAAGAATGGGAATCTTGCATGATGCCACTACACCAGCAGTGCTCTTTGAATTGTCGGCTATTCTTTAGAGGATATATGTCCAGTCATACTGAAAATTTTCATCAATAAATTAAATCGTATTTTAGGTAATTTATTTTATTTATATAACGTAACGTTGGCATGGCTATGAAATTGAAATAATGCAGCTTGTAAATTCTGGACAGTCTGTCATAGTGTTCGACATAGGTAAAATAACTCTGACTATAATAATGACATTATAATTGCGATAGAATCTCTCTCACACAATATGGATTACTAATTTCTTCAGCTGTATATTGATAAAAATGTTTTAATCAAAATAAAAAATTGCAATAAAAAATTCTTTAAAAAGTAAATTTTGTGCGATGGCCGGGAATCGAACCCGGATCAACTGCTTGGAAGGCAACTATGCTGACCATTACACCACCATCGCACACGTTATATTACATATCACTAGTAAGGAAGAATATTTATTTTGACATAATTATAAATTAGAATATATTATTATTTATTAAAAGTTGCTTTTAATACATTTAATCTTGAAAATAACTAAAAGAACATTTTTTTCCTAGAAAATATATACTAATATTTAAAATTATAGAAAGAATTATTTGAATAAAGATATATTTGACATCAACTTCATATAATTGAAATATTTGTTACTATAGATTTCAGCGCTAAAAATATTCATCAAAAATAGACTCATTACATTTCTTTGTTGTCTATTAAAATAAATGATCATCCGATTTTTTATTTTCCAAAAAATTTCGTTAAAAATCTCACTAGAGTCTGAATTAATACAAGCGAAAGTAAGAACAGTTAACTATTATACGTTGTCGTGTGATGTAAAAACTCGTCATGTTATAAGGCATCTACAACATATCATGCATTATTCAATATTGTCATGCTTTAAAAGAAATATGGCTGAACATGCGGCAGATTGAGAAAGTACGTTACATGACACGGTGTAAACAAGCCGAGACGAATGAATGTGCTCTTTCAGTATTAGAAAAAAGATAAATAAAAATGAGTTATGTTAGTTTGGCAAAAACACCTTTAGAAATTCAATATCTCTTCTACACGAATTCCTACTGCGCAGAAATTTATCTGCGCCTTTATTGGTTTTATTGACAACAACGAGACATAAAGATTTTCGATATGACTATGATAACAGCTTGGTCAAGAATGAAATATTATCATAGTTGCCGAAAAGGCAGATTTATTTCGCCAGAATGAGTAGCTTCATCAAAATTCATTAGAGATTATTGCAGAAATGTGAAAGACTGTTCTTTTCTTACAAAACGACTAATTATAAGGAACGTGCTAATAATCTAAACATTTTTATTCTTCAAATAATGAAAATTAATAAAAAAATAATAACAATTTTGTTATTTCGCGCATGCATATATATATTATATGTCCCGATCTTTAATCTTGTGTAGTTGAAATCGTAATGCAATCATGAATCGCTCGAACTCCCGACCCTTTCGTAAATTTTTCAATATCACGAGCGTGACGATAACGAGGGCATGTGATGGTGGGGAAAGAGACGCGGGTTAGAAAGCCTTAACTGTCTCTCGGCCGGCTACGGCCGGTAAAATCGTTTCTCAGTGAACCTTCAGCAGTCGTCGATCGTAGTTGTTGCGCGTTGTGTGTGCCAACTTCGAGACCTCATTTCATCGCTCCCATTAACGAGTAATATTAGACCACTTTTCTCTTCAATATAATGTTTTTCTTTACAAATTATCGAAGAGAAATTAATTTCAAAATCTGTGCAGACGTGTATCCGTACATTTCGAAGCTCAAATAAAACCGCGATACGCTAGTGATCAAACTTAATCATAATCTTCGCAAAATAAGATTTTAATAACGTCGTGCCGTCAATCGTTTTAAAAAAATATAAAAGGTATTTTTTTTGCAAATAATGTTACATATGTATGCGTGCTAAAATATATTTAAATATCGACGAAGATTACATTTATAAATATACATTGTAGTGTATGTACAAATATTGCATTAGCTAATACATTAATAGATCCGCAGAATAAAATGTTTGCAAGTAAATTTTGCAAACTAAAGGTTTCGCATGGCCAGTCTGCCTGATACCAACCAGATAAGATAAAAAGTCAAACGTGACATTTGCAAGCACTGTGGGACTCATTATCGGCCACTCGTCCATCGGCAAGTGAAATTCCTCGGTTGGAAGTAGGTCGCAAACAGACGTTAATATGAAACAAGAACGAAGCCCGTGAGACATTCTTTCGAAAGTTTTCAATACGTAGATTCGATGAGCTCAAAGTTCAAGGCAATTATTACTAATTCTAATAAACCTAAAGCAATCATTATTAAAGTCCATGTACATGCAATGTGCATAAAGTACGATCAGAATCGCAAGTAGTTATGTCCTTGAATGTATTATTTACATATTATACAAGAAGCGAGGTAAAGACAATATATTATTACGAGTGTTACCGAGAATTATGTTACGATTGATTAATCAGACTCCCTATTCGTCTGGCCGCACGTACGAATCACGAGTTCATCCACCGCAAAAGATGGTCCTTAAATGTCAAGAACGATTATTATTGCGAAAAGAAGAAAGCGCATAATTTACCATGCATTCGAAAGTGACACGCGGCGGGAGGATATGAGATCGCAGCAGCTGATCGTTATTTGGAATCAATACGTTCGAAGCTAATCGCGACATTCAGGCGACGACATACGAACTGTTTGAAAGAAGTTGCTAATGTTGGTTTATGTAAGGACATTTATTAGAAACAATAATGCAAAAGCGCTCGGCTGCAACTTGCAGCACGCGGTTGTGCGGAAGTAAAATCGGACAATCTCAATTGGCGACTCAAGAAGTAGGACGCGCGTGGCAAAATTAAAGGAGATGTTTCTCGGATGATGGAAATGGTGAAGGAAAAACCGCGTAGACGAAGCGTGAGCGAGCTGCTCCATTGGAGATGCTTAGCTGAGTGCAAGGGCACCAGCGCCGGAGACGAAAACGATAACGCAGGACTCTTGCTGGAAGATTATGACAGAGAACCAGAAACACGCAGACGGAGACGATCCGGTACTTGGCCGTGAGTAAAAACATTACTCCAATTTTTCGAGAAATAGTAGAAATGAAACAGGTGGTGACAGCTTTTGAAAATATCTACGTAAACTACAAAATCCAGTCTACTGATTTCCTGCCAATCTGTTAATCTGTATCTCCCACGGCGAAGAGTTGCGAGCAACGGCGGAGGTTTTGCCAAGTAGTGGTTTCCAGCAGGAAGCAAAATCTTTAAACGTAAACTGACCGCATCCAAAAGCACATTTTTATTTCCTCTTTCGTTTCGAAAATAACGTCGAGCTGTATTTAAACGTCTGGTTGCAAACGAACATGCGAACGATATGTTAACATGTCGGCAATCTCGAAACGCGGTTACAAAATAGATTGGCATCGTTATCTAACTTTTCATTTTAGATTACAGAAGCGTCTTATTTCACTGCTCTTCATATGTAGGCTTGAATAACGGATGTCCTTTTAATTGATTAAAGGTTAAATAATTCTAATCCAGGCTTTAGTAATTTTTAGAGTTTACTAATTAAATGGAGTAATACATGTGATTTCAATTTCAGTCTAGTGACTAGGACTTTTCATTCAGGACGCTTCTTGATTTGCAATACCGAGAGATCTTTATTATTCTTTTATTGTTAATTAAAAACTAATTTTTTATTAATGTTGCACAAAACGTACATAATCGATTGACTTAAACTACAAGTAACACAGTTAATATGCTGCTAAATATATCGTCGTTAATTAGTTGATATACATTATTTTATATTGGAAAATCACGCCAAGTGCGAACTGGCAATTTTGCTAACACAAAAGCAGATTGTTTTATTTCATAATTAAGATGAAATCACGTAATTTGATTCTATCTCGCATGTAACATGAGGCTCAATATACGATACCTTACTCGACGCTTTTGCTACGCTATGACGTCATCGTTCTCGTTGAAAAGGTTTCTTCAGACAGGACATTGAACTTAATTAATAATCATTTATTATTAATTATCATTTAACTTAATTTAATTGTAGCAAATTTTAGTAAAATTTTTAGATGAAAGATCAAACCGATAAAAGTGATAAATATCAAATAACTAGAGAGAAAGAGAGAACTAATAATATAATTTTAACATCTAAAATTTTTAAAAAATTTTTTGCATTCTCTACGAATAAAATTTTTTATCTAATTGGAAGTCTCGATCAAATTTATCAAACTCGATCAACCGATAGAGCTCTGTAAAAAAAAAAGAAAATAAAGAAATAAAATACGAGTGAGATTAGAACTGGAACAAACAAACGGGTTGCGTGTTTGGAATTGATTGGCGTTCTCTGGCCGCGCTTGCGTGTCTGGCTAGGCGTCACGACGTCGGCGTGTTCACGACCTACGAGACCATTGCCAATACCCGACTTGTCTCTCGTGGTGTGTCAGTGCCGAAGTGTGCCTTAATCGCTGTTGATCCGCGTTGCTCTAATTATCACAAACGTCGTTTCTCTTCCACCTGTCTCTCAAAGGATTTAACGTGTACCGGTTGCAAGATCGGCACACATGGATGAAGCTGAGTTGAGGTATTGTTAAAATCTCTATAAAATCCAGGAAATCCTACTTATTTGCCCTTCGCATCCGACATATCGTCGAGAAATAATCGCACTTCACTTTACACTCGTGGTGGATGAAGATGGCAGGTCGTATGCCTTTAATAAAATAAGAATTATGATAACGAAAATCGTTATTTCCTTCATTACCATAAACTCATATTTTATTAAAGGCCATACAACCTGCCATCTTCAACTACCACAAGTGTAAAATGCGATTATTTCTCGACGATATTTCGGATGCGAAGGGTATGGCAAATAGGGATGATTTCCTAGATTTGTGAGAGATCTCTGCATTGATAATTGTGCACGTGTATCTTAGCATCAGCATCCACTTGAATCGCTGCGGGAGCACTTCTTGTTGCTCCTTTCGAGAGCGAGAACGCGTTCACCTTTCGCCGCACATTCCATTCGATCCGGCTTTTGCTCGATGGGCTCCCTTAAGTCCCGTATAGCTCGCACCCATGGCGCCTCCGTTGCGCCGTCAATCGGAATTTCAGGAATTCGCGTTCGATGCAATCGATTACAGAACCGTTCTCTCCGTTTTCTCTTCGTTGATTGGGTCCAAATAGTCCACGTGTCATCTTAACGGATCACTTCTTACGAAGATGCAGATTTTACTCCATGGTGGAACTCACCGTTACAGATGTTACGTTTTCAATCTAATCGTTGTGATGGATGCAGTTGTTCCAACAACATTACTTGAATTTAATGAACATGCTGATATTTTTGGCATGATATTTTGGTCGATGTGTTCATCATAATACAACCGGTTTTTGTATGAGAAATGTTCTTTTAATTTAGAAGGAGAACGTGCGGATATTAATCTGTCAAGTAAAATTGAAAAGAAAAAAAGCTAACATTTCTTTGAACAACCAGACTTGTCTTAACACTTTTAAAAACGTAATGTAAATTGATATTTATTCTCCTATTAAAGAAGGCAGTTATTTTAGACAAAAGTAATGTATATAAAAATAACTCGCTGTCACGTGTGTAACAGTGCAAAATCTCCAAGAGAGCGGTGTTACATCAGCATGTGTTTTAGTAAAAAAAAAGGACAAATACGCGATCGAGGAGGTGCAGCGACCGGGCAGACGACAAAAATATCCTCGATTGTACAGACGTCGACGCGCAACGTGCGTTTCATCTCGTGAATTCAGTGCCAGAATTATCTCGGCATCGCGCATCGTTTGCAACACGCGTTAGAAGGTTACTACCTGCAGCATCGACGCGAATTGTGGAACGAGTCATTACCGACCGCCAGCGACAGAGAATCTTGTCGTAATTGGGAGCCACACTTTCATCCCAGACGCGTCATTCCGCACACGGCCATCTCGCCACTCGCCACTCACAATCAGTCGCTGTTATGTGTCTGAATTATCAAGATTAAAGTTGTTATGAAAAACACGCGTAAAGATAAACATTTAAAAGTTAACAATTAACATTCTGTAATTTTGATCGGTACGCGAGACTGGTGCCTTTATTAGTTTTAATGGTGCAGTGAATTGCTGGAAACGTTAAAATAGTAAAGTGGAAGTGAAAGAAATTTATTTTATGCGCAATCGCAATGTCTATATCGGGAGTTTGAATTTAAAAAAAAGATATCGCAGTCAAGCATAAGTCGTAGCAGTTTCAATGCAGAGTTTCGAACGAAGTTCAAGGTCCGCGATATGCCATTTGTGAATACCGAGTGACTTATTCAGGAAAGACTTTTTATGTTGTAAATGCGTTCTTTTTTAGGTGAGCTCGACGCGTTGATTCAAAATAAGTCTCTGTTATTCTACCGCAACGATACTGTTCTTTTTTAATTAATGCATAAATTGCTTAATTTTTTGTTCAACGCGCGGTATAACGATAGAGCAGCAATGAAATCCGCAGCTTCTCATTGAAATCTTATCTCGATTAATATCTTTGAGAAAAGGAAAGCTTGTCCTTGAGAACGATTTCGAAGGCCTTCCAACGAGCGAAGGACGCTGTCACTTTGAAACAAGATCGATTTTTAGGATTTAAATATTCAATAAGAAGCGAATAAAATGTGTTGGTTTAATCGAAAGAGTTCATAAATTTAATCTAAAAATTGTACAATTGCGCTCGTGAAAATCGCGTACTGGATAATCAGAATTATGAAATTACAGAATGTTCTAAGAAACTTTAACAGGCTGGATAAAAGAAAGTTTCAAATAGAATAAGAAACAAAAATTAAACAAATCTTAAAATAATAAAACAAATTATTTTAGAAATATAAAGATTTATTTTTACCTATTTGACTTTATTTTTAAATATACCATTTTTATAAACATACAAGACATATTTTAATTAGCGGTAAAGCAATTGCAGTCCTGATTTAAAATGTATGGAAATAGATGATGTTAATTTTAGTAACCGTGATTTCTTCCCGTTAATCATACGCGAATCTAAAAATAAAATTATTTTGGCATCAGAGATACATACTACACATGTTTCACGATATTTACGTGTGATTCGTGATCATAATTCGCTCACTTATGATAATTCTTAGTATCTTATCGACGTTGTCCGATTATATTTTATCGTTTTACTTTATTTCTTTATATATCGCTTATTTTATACGTGATCTTTATTCTTCTCGTGATAATTATTAGTTAAATCAATATTAATCTATACCATTATCTATACAATTTATCTATACCATTCACACATATACACACATACACATCACAAATATCTTAAAGTATATTGTGCATATGTGTAGTTGCAAAGAGACTTTTTATTTGTGCGAATTTTCTTATCATCTGGTGCAAGATATGACTGATCAAATATCATTCTTAAATGACAATGAAATCAGTGTACAATATGATTTTGTTTGTGACGTTGACTCGCAAGACGATGGATCAAATAACTCGTCAATGGACAGTAATCCACAAAATCGCATCCTCAGGTAGACCTTCCTCGATAATTATCGCTTGCCATAAAAAAGTATCTTCTAAATGTTATTATCAGTAATATCAAATATTGGAAGCTAACTGGTTATTTATAAAAAAATATCTATTGTAAGTTAATGTTGTGTGCGTATGTGCATGTGTCTATAAATAATTACCATATAACATCGACGTCGCTATCTGACGCTTAATAATTACAGAAATTCGTGAAGAAACGAAATTAAAAGCTAGTGAATTAAAAACTAGCGAAATTTGAAGCCAATTCTGAAGTAGAATTGAAGTTCTATTGTGTTTTCCTACATAATACAGGTGTGCGTATGTGCTGTCATTGCTGCATAATATTTGTTAGACTCACAAAACAAATATGACGTAAGTTGCGCCGCGGTAACAAGATAGAAAAACTTAGTTCTACTAATATTAAAAAAACTAATACACTGATGCGCCATAATTACAACCTGTTCATGTATCGAATTATGTCAGACTAGCAATTGTCTTGACTCAGCACAATCGCGAATGATGCATGCAGTATGCGCAACTAATCACATTTTGAATTTGTTTTTACGATCGACATCACGTACTTGAAAAATAAAACAACCATTTTTAAATACAAAACGACACGCGATATTAAAAACATAATTTTAATATATTTACAACGTATAAATTCATTCTTATTTCTAAATAAAATACCTATTTTACATATTTTTTGAAATTAATATATTAATAAAAAGAAGTTACTTTTTGACATGAGGAAGCAAGATAAACTGATCCTTTCACCATTTTTTCCTATAGAGAATGATTAATGAGAGGAATGGAGAAGATATCACTTCGAAGGTCAGGGTCTTGAGTTGAATATACTCGTATATTTTTGGTGACATCTTTATTCGATGAAACTGGCGAAATTACTCGGGGAATCTGATGATTTTTCATATTTAACATTTGTTTTCTTTTTATTTTACAGGAGAACGAGGAGTCTAAACGCGCCCAGTCCCGTTCAACACTTCGGGCGATGTGGGCGTATCATGAAAAATCCTGCGATGGTTATGTAAGTAATTTATATGATATTTTTTCAATGACGTTGAGAGAAAGACACAATTAATTATTACATATTTCTATTACTTCTCCCTTGATTGAACATTTTACTATTATTCATGTCAGCATACACAATGTAACGCACAAAGAATCGTCCTCGATTATGCCTCCATTTTATTAGCATCGTTAATTAATTTACAGAAGAACACTTCATTTAAATTTGGAATGCTTGTAGATCGATATTATCACAGTTAATTGTTAATTAAAAATAATCATCAATCTTTAGAAAAAAAAGCGAAAAAAGAATTCCATACGTGTAGCGTTTTATTCGTTGGGTGATATTCGCTTTCTTTGAGGATGGAAAAGCTTAACGATCATCTTCATTAGCAAACAATCATATTGAGATGGTAATCGCGACGTTCACGTAATCAATGTCGAACACACTAGAAACGATCGACGAAACTCATTTGCGTTTCTTTTTGCAAGGAATGATGACTAAGCATGATACCAAGAGAATGTTTTAAATTAAATGTATTATTATTTTTGCGGTCTTTCTTACTCTCTTTAAAAATATCCACTTACAAGTTACTGTTTATCCGCTAGTTAATTATTATGCTACAATGTATTCTATTCTTATATTATTTTATACGTAGCACTGACTTAATTAAGTTAATTTCTGCTTTTTTAGTAATTATATACACTTGAAAAATCTAGTTTAGACGTATATAATTTTATTGTAAAAGACATTCTATACGTAGAAAAATTAAAAACTTCATGTTTACCTTCATAACTGATTTATTTCATGTAATGAATATCTATGCACCAAAAAATTTCTGGAGATCATTAATAGTGGTCGCTTCATCATGAATATGTAATCGTCTTTCAACTCGAAAAAACATGGTTGTATATATACAATAAATCAGACGCCGGCGACGTGATTTCCCGCGCGTGCATATGATGTGCACGCGCGTGCGCGACGTTTCCGTTTAAATATCTATCTTTTAGTTGAGTGGTCAGTAAGCGCGCGTTCCTCAACCAGTGCCGCATCATGGTTGGAACTGCGAGGTAGGTGTCGATACATACGATACTTTTTAAGTGTTCAGATACTAGTCGACCGCGCTTATTACTTCGTGTTACACACAAGATTGTACTTCCCTAAGCATTGGCTGGCAGTTGCAAACGATTACTTTTCGCTACTTCAGTGATAAATTGTCTAGTAAACACAAACTGAAGTTTTCATGAAAGAGAGTCTTATAATAGATATTACCAGTGCTAAGTGTCTTTAATATGAATTATTCTGAAATTTTTATTAAGTTAGTAAACTCAACGTAAGTTTTAATCATTTATATGTATTTCTCAAATTAATAATTTGTCCTGTCACTTTTTTCTCCTACAAGATATTTAAGAATTGTTCGAAACATTAGCATCATCGAGCCCACTTTGTTTCAATCAAACTCGTGGAGAGTTTGGCAGTCAGACAAGTTATCGATTCTTTATTTGACTCTGATGCATAAATATTCTAAGATTATCCGACGAATATTTAGAGTTGCAACAACATATTAACATAGATATTCACATGATTTGTAATTGTAATTTTATCGAATGCATGTAATATTCGTAGAAAATGACAGTTTGAGGTGACTCGGGTCGCTACGTGAAAAAAACGCGTGTGTATTAGTTCAATTAGCAAGAAAAAAGAACGGAAATTATAGACATTTAGTCAGTGCGTGATGCTCGCAACAAAGTTATCGTCGCATTATATACTTGGTATCATCAAGCAGATTTATTTAAGTTTTATTGACAGGTGATCCTTAACCGGTTGTCATACAAAAAATCACGTGGCTATCAATATTTCTACAATTTCGAATATATTTTAAATGTCACTTGAAATTTCTACTTATGTCTGGCTGATCTTCGCAGATAAATATTTGGAGAAAAAATATTAATTGTGCAATTTTTCTTGTTTCGCTGTTTTTCTTCTCCAGATAATCTTAATCAATCATTGTTTACTACATATTATATTGTTATAAATTTTAATTTCGTTCGATTACTTTTTCTGGTGCATAAAATGTGCAACTGAACTTGCAGTCTGCATAAAATTTCGGTAAAATATAATGCGTGATTACAGTACATACAAGAAATGAATAGTAAAATAAATCGTCACCGGGGTCGATGCTCTTTTACATTTCATCAGTCGTCACCTTTGTCTCTTTGCTTCGATTGTTTTTTGACGTTCATACAGGATACAATGATGCCTCACAAATAATTAGACGAAGCTTGTACAATTGTCGATAGATATGATAGGCGTGTAGGATAGATCATCGGGAGCTCGTATACACAAGATTCTTCCGACCACACTTGCATAAAGTATACTTCACTTATCTTATTTTAACCCACGACCTCAGCCTGCGATAAGTTTGTTTTTATACAATACTCTATAAAATATAACTCTGATACAAAGAACGCACAAAATCGTAATTCAGTTCAGCTGATTATTACAGACTAGAGGAGAAAATGTAACTATCATAATGGTTTTCCTTGCTCATTTCAGGACCATTCAGGACCCGGCCTCTCAGAGATTGACGTGGTACAAGCCACCGCTCTCTGTTTTGGTCATTAAAAAGGTCCGCGATTCATCAGTCCTGCCACCGTTTGTTGAGTTGGTCACATGGTTAATAGAGGTAAATGTTAATAAAATCATTTAAAATATTAAAAGATTACGATATGCCTATTTGAAAAGATTGATTAGTGAGAATCCACAAAGTGATGTCAGCTCACTTCCCATAATTAAATATTATAAAAAATTAATTCAATTCATTTGCATGAAGAAGCTATTCTAATTTCCAATTCATATTTTTTCCGCGTGTTCTTAATATTAATTTCATATTAATCTAGTACCCAATTCTTACATTTGCATATATTGAGAAAATATAAGAAATATTATCTCTGTACGATACTGTTATAATTATTATCTATACGATGTAAAGAAATCATGACAAAAATTAATTTGTATATTATCGTATAATCAAAATTGATTTCTTTTATAATTTCTTTTATCTTCATAATTCTTTTTATTTGATAAGTAAGAAATCACATAGGTATTATTATTATATTATATGCATATTCTTTTTTTTAAATCATATTATCCTATTCCACATTGTGAATGCATCGTCAAAATGCCGTCAAGATGCCAAATATATGTCAATATAAAAAGTCATTCTTTAGAGGAAAATAACTTTTTATTCTTCCAAGAATTATTATATTTTTCTGCTAGGTATTAATAGGATATATTGATATAGATATAATAGGACATTTTGAATAGAATTTTACGGTTGTTTCCATAATACAGGAAAAACGGATGGTGGTCTTTGTAGAAGCTTCTGTTCTGGAGGACCCAGCTTTGGCCAGAGATCCAAAGTTTCGAAGTGTTCGAGATAGATTACAAACTTTTAGGGATGGCACAGATGACTTGCAGGTATATAACACCGTTCACTTGTTTCGAAATATATTTTACGAAAGTTACAAACTATGTGTTTATTATAATTTTTCATGTTTCTCGTAAAACTAAAAGTTTATATGTATATGCATATTTACATTGGATTCAATTTAGTTATTTATTGGACGACAAAAATAAACAAAGATTAATAAACGATAAAATTTGTATTACTTTTCAATGTCTTTTCCACTTCTTTTTTGCTTTAAATGGATCACATTATTTTCTGTTTTCAGGATAAAATTGATTTTATTGTTTGCTTGGGAGGCGACGGCACACTTCTTTATGCCAGTCTATTATTCCAACAGTCAGTGCCACCTGTAATGGCATTCCACCTTGGTTCCTTAGGATTTCTCACACCCTTCGAATTTGACAATTTTCAGGAGCAAGTGACCAATGTTCTCGAAGGTTAGTTGTTAATTTATTTTATGTTTTTCTGTTTCTTAATCGCCAAATTCATATTATATCTTGTTTCCGACCCTAGGTAATGCGGCTTTAACTTTAAGGAGTCGTCTGAGATGCGTCATTGTACGCAAGAATGAAGACAGTCAACCGGCTGAACCACCGACGAATCTCTTGGTATTGAATGAGGTTGTAGTGGATCGAGGGCCCTCGCCTTACCTTTCGAATATCGACCTATTCATTGATGGCAAACACGTGACGAGCGTCCAAGGTGATGGCTTGATCGTGAGCACACCGACCGGGTCGACCGCTTATGCAGTTGCCGCTGGAGCCAGTATGATTCATCCTTCAGTTCCTGCAATCATGATCACACCGATCTGCCCTCACTCTTTGTCCTTCAGGCCGATCGTCGTACCTGCCGGGGTCGAACTCAAGGTAGGGTCTTTAAAGTTTTCTATGAAGAAACGCGCTAATGGAATGTTTTACCACCAACATTTGTTAGTGGCGGGTTAAAAGCTTGTTTTTAAGCTTTATATAATAGGCACTAATTGATTAGCACGCGATGCAGCGTTTTTACTTCGAGTCGGTAAAAATTCATTTTTCGTGTGGAGATCTATGACCCATGTCAATGTTCTTCGTATGATATATCACTCATATCATGCGAAGATCTTTGACTCATTTCACAATAGAAGGAAATCTGGTACCGATGAATGTCACCCACTTATTTCCCAATATTTCCTAGACGATGCGCTACCTCGAAGTTTTCACTCAAAAGTTTTTTTTTAACTGTTCGCACTTGTCGGAAATAATTCATCTCTTCTCATGAAACAACTTGCTGTGATTAAAGAACAATTGTTTCCGTAATAATCGAAATTATTGCTGATGTGTTAATTTATTCCAATTTAAAATTTAAAGTCAAAAATATTTTTTCTTATACATCCAGGAATAAGAATGATAATGATGGAATTCGTAAAAAGCACTTGTTAAGCAACAGCCTTTGAAAAAATGTCCAAGAAATTAATGTGTTATTTCGAGTCAAACGAACCGTGACGATACCGCTGTAATCGTTAGCGATTAACATGATCGTCTTGCTTTCCACCGCAGATCTCGGTTTCACCCGACAGCAGAAATACCTCATGGGTGTCCTTCGACGGTAGAAATAGACAGGAGCTCTTCCACGGTGACAGGTAAAACCGAAACGCTCGGCAGCTCCGTCTAATCGTTTGCCTTTTTTTTACAATTATTTCAGATAATGGGGAACAGCAATGCCCGCAGTACAGCTTACGTCTCCTTCGATGGTCGCAATCAGCAAGAGCTGCGTGTCGGGGACAGGTTTGTCCTGCTTTCGCAAAGAGCGCCGTATTCGCTTTTCTCTCTATATATATGCCTCGTTACATTAAACGACATATTTCTATAATTTGTTTTTCTTTTTCAAAATTATATTTATAAATTCTATAAATCACTGCGAATAAGGTGATTATCTCTTTCTAATAACCTTATTTCGGTCGGTACATCATCGAACCTTTCATTTTTTTTCACCTTATATTCATTCTTTGCCTAATTTTAATATTCATTTTGCTGTCCATATTTTACGTTAGAATATCTTTCTGGAGACGTTGGCTGTACTACAGGGTGACGGTACTCTTTAAATTTTATTATTCATACTTGTGAAGAAGACAAAAAGAATTTTTTATAACGTTTACATAAACATTAAACTGAAGGCTTTCGCTTTTCGTAACGAAATCACCACGAGTAAATATTCCTTTACATAAGAATACTATTTTTATTAAATATATGAATCATTTTCTTATAAATACATTTTTCTGCTAATAGTCATAAACAATTAAGAAATAACTTAAATAAATTTTGCTTGTATCAATTTATTTTGTGTCAGAGTAAACTTTCGACATAGCATATTAGCTTTTGCTTAGATAATTTAATTTCATCAGATTGGATAATTGTTAAAAAGAAAATCGCACGGTTTTTCAGTCTCAAGGTAACTACTTCTGTGTACCCGGTGCCTAGCATTTGCGCAGCCGATCAAATCACCGACTGGTTCGATTCCTTAGCCGAATGCCTTCACTGGAACGTCAGAAAACGCCAGAAGCACTTGGACGAGTTAAGTGACCTCACGCATTCATCCAGCAACGATACTTTAGATTCCTTCGATCGAGATAGTTAGGTCAAGGGGGATACTCATATATAGACTGTATCATAATTGACAATATTTGGCCAAATATAACTCGGCTGAGAAACTGAGTAATTAAAATCGATTATTCGATTTTTCTAAATAATCTCGCCTTTATCGATTAAAACTTTTTTAACAAAATCTTGTTAAACGCAGTGGAAGAAAACCGGTAAAAAACTGATTGGTTGTCAGTAAAGTTGTGTCCCATGAGATCGTTCTCTCTAGGAAACATCTGTGTATAAAGTCTACGATTGAAGATGGATATTATATAATTTAGATCACAAAAATGATTCGATCATGATAGTGTAAAAAATCTCAATTCCTAATAATAAAGTGCATTTGTCTTCGAAGAGAATATGTGTCATGCGAAATATTGTTTAAATATTGTCATGATGAAGAAATGATATACTATTAATAATCCGAGAATGCGCGCATATACAACATATTTATTAATAATTGCGTCTTGGTCTGTAAAATGACCCATAGATTTTATTGAATACGTGAGAATTTTTTACTTGTACAGATATTTTTATTTTCTAGTTTTCTTTAATATGGTATAAATGTGAGACCATACTCTTGCTTTTTTACTGATTATAATCGTAATCGATTTAATGTAAATCGATTTGTAAATGTTGAATTTTCCTATAAAACTTTTTAATAAAAAATATGTTTTATACAATATATATATATATTATATTCTTTCTTTAATAACTCTACAGTTATAAAACTTCATAAAAGTTATAAAAAGAGGGGAAAGATTTATCATTTGTCGTCACCTTTGGGTAGAGTAAATGTGTTATATACATATATGTATGTCTTCCTACAAATGAATTTATTTATCTGCAACATGACATGGAAATATACATTATATACACCGCAGAAGGCATTAAACATTACGCTTCTTTTGTCACATACGTTGTAAGTATCATAAGAAGTCGTTGCAATTTCAAAGACAAGAAAGACTTTCTTAGAAATCTGCAACGTTTTCGCAGAGAAACTCTCCGCGAATTCGTCTAACTAAAGATTCGGAGAAAAGATCTCTTAATCAATCTAACTATATTTAATATAAATAGATATATGAACCTAAATTTTTACATTTGGCTATATCAGTCATGAGCATGTTGACACGTTGGCGAATGCATAAGTCATCGATACGCTATTTTACATTTAATTATATATACATTATAATACGATGCTTAAACGAGATAGTTTACTTTATATATCTTACTGTATATATCTATATATCTTATACTGTATTTAAATAATTCTTCTTTAAGTTAATAGTAAACAGTCTATATAAAGAACTCTTAGAAAACCATATCAATTTTTTACAATTAGATTATTATTGTGTATTTAAAGCCGAACCTTTTTTTTTCGAATAAATTTCGAATAAATTTCGGAAAAGATAAGCAATCATTGAAAAATTGCATTTGCTATAAAAGCAAAGCTGTTTAAAACAGACATTTCACTTGGTAATTTTATCTCTGCATTTACCTATATATTTATTAGTCTATTCTTCAATCATTAGATTTGATATGGAATTTCTTAATTCCTAAAATTTAAAATCCAGTACTTAGGATTCATTCTTATATCGTACTTCTGGGTAGATAGATTCTCTATACGACTCTGAGTTTATACAATAAAAGTGCACGTTTCTTTACGTGTTAATGACAAATATTTCTAAATAAAGATAATAACAATATTTTAAGTCAATTTTTCTTATTTCGCAATAAATTCTTTTGCTTTGTGGTCAGGTAAATCTTGCCATCAATGCCTACTACAATTTATATACATGACTTTTTTGTCATTTACGATACGAATATAACGAGGACAGGCTCGGACGAAAAGTGCAGGTGTGCGCTCGGCTGTAGAGAAAGAAAAGAAAATTTTAAGGCAATCCAAAATTATCGCAGTCTAAAAATGGATTAATTGAAAAACATGCACATATCCATAATTTATAAAAAAATATGAATTTTTGCTCTTTAACAACTTATATTCCATTTTCCTTCATTAAATTACTAGGACACTAATAATTATTAATTAAATTATTAAGTCATAAACAATTTAAATATATTTTCAGCAGATGTGTCTACTCAAAATACATTTCAAATAATTAAAAAATTTCCATTTACTGATTCAAATCGATATCGATGATTAATTTAAGCTGTGCATAAATACTTTGAATTTCAATTTCCGTGCAAAACACATTATATTATTAATACAGTTTTGTTTCAAGTGTTACTACACGCGTTATTTAGTCTCACACAAAAATGTGAGAGCCAAGGCTCAATCCAAATCTCAAACGGGAGTTAGTATTGTTAGATCACACACTCACATGCCTTCTTATCCAAATCGTGGTCTCCACAGGTCGGTTGTTGGATGTATTGAGCCGGTTTTAGCGGCCGACCGTCCTGGTCCTCTATTTCAATCACCAAACCGTGATTGTTACCATGTTGATTTCGCGGAGACGGTCGCCAGGCTCTCAGGCCATGCCTGACATCCAGCGCCAGGGGAGTATCATTGCCCGTCAGAGACGTCACGATGGAATCCATTAGCCGTTTCTTTGCTACAGAAATTGCAGTTCTCAAAAGTCTCGGAATATTCACGCCGCGTATCAGTAAGTCAATCCTGATGAACGATAAAATACTCACATCGATGCTTCCTCAGCGCTTTGGTATAGTAGTAAACGGATATCCTGATCTTCTCATCCTCATCCTCGTCGAAAGGGTTCGAAAGTCGGAAGTCGGAAGTCGTGACATTTTCTTGCGGTAACTTAGAAATTCGCAATCTCGCAGCGACAATGTAATCGCGGGCAGTAAAATTCAATTGAAAGTACATGTTCATCGAAAATGGATCCATCCATGCCTCAGGATCTGCGTTTCGAGGTATCTGACCTATATAACGAATTGCGCATTTCGTTTAATAAACAATATCCTCAAAGACTCTATCACTGTATCTTCTTTCTTTTAATAACATCACAGAAATAAACGAATTTTTAAATTACTTACAAGCAGGCGGAAACATGGTAAGTTTCTCGCGTTGAACCTGATTGGTGTCGGTGCTAAGGTTCCATCTCCCAGTAACCATGAGAATTTGTATCTTAATATTGTCGATCACCTTTTGGCTCAGACTGCACAGACGGATCAAAGTTTATTAAGCTACGCGAAATGCCTAAATGAAATGGTACGATATCGTGCCAAGCCTTTGAACATTTAATGAGCAATGATATGATAGCACACCAATTTCAAAGCTTCAGCGTATTATTAGAATAGTGTTAATCTTGCACGAGATATTGCTTTTAAAAAAAGAAATGTAAGCGTTTAAGCCAAAATATTTAAAAATTTCAGAAGATTGTTCTCCTGCATAAAGCGATAAAATATAAATTGAGTGTCAAGCTATTTTTTGAGAGAGACAAAATAATTTGCTCAACTTGGATAAACCCAAGACCCAAATATTTAAAAACATTTAAACATGCAGAGACATTTAAAAGACGCTCTAAAAATGTTCTAAATATTATCGAAATGTTTTTGGACATATTTTTTGGAGTTTCCTAAGAATTCTGAGTTTATAGAATCTTAGAAGATCTAGATTTCGCAATCTAGAAAATATCGTTTTACTTCATGAACCTAGTGCGGTGGCGCGTTTGCCGGCTGGAGAATTTTCACCTCCAGGTTCCCGGCGGACTCTTCCGGGTGCCGACACGGGCCAATGGACGATGGTCAGTGACCTACAGAGGCACGGTATGGCTCGAAGGCATTTATTACACGTTGCAGACAGCGGCTAGACAGTCGGCGGATACACCGGCACCCCAATCACCTCGACTTTCCGTCTGGTCTCAGCGGAACTTTAATTTCTTAAGGCCGCATCTCGAATCTTAAGTTCATTCCCAAGACGTCTCGACCAGACTCATTTGCATCGCCCTGCCTCGGCCTACAGAGACTTTTTCTTCGGCACTGAACGTCGGTTGTTCGCGTTCGCGTGACTAGAATTTCACTCTTTTTCCTGACGCGACGTATATAACGATGTGACCCGTCTCATCCGTCGCCTCTATTCGATGCTATTGTAGTTTTTAGATTTCGTGTTTACAATATAATGAAATTGCGATCTTATGATTTTCGTCGATGCTGGGACAAAAACTTGTTTATTTGCGCGCCAGGTCCTCACGCCCTCCGAGACTTTCATCACAAGCAGACTGATGTCGTGTTTCGAAAGATGACGGCGCGACGTTGGACGATCAGCCGAGACGCCGCAGGATTGCATAATAAATTTTTGAGTCATTAAGCAACGACTGATGGAATAGAAAAAAAGAACGACGAATGGGGCGAAAGGAGAAGAAGAATGAGCGTCATTTCTCTACGTCATCGACAAGGTGTCCGAGACGCTTACTCGGGAGGTTTCAGTGCAGCTTCCACGTCAACGACCTCATTGGTTATTTGAATACCAGGAAACTGTATTTCCCGGAATAACAGAAAAGAGAAGAAAAGAAGAAGATGCGTAGAAAGTAAGAGAGAAAAAGTAGTGGAAGAAAGTAAAAAAAAAAGCTAAAGAAAGCGAATCTAACAAACTCAAACAACAGGAGAGAAAACAAATATAAAACTTTTCTTTATAATTTTTGAAATTTTACAGATCTGTCTTTACTTCTCCCTATCTCTAAAAGGAAAAGATAAATGAGCTTTCATAAAGATTCGAATGCCGCCTTTGAAGAACTCAAAAATGATAACTAAAAGGCAAAATCTGTTATTTATCCTAGTCTTATGGGGTTATCTAGAAAATAGACCCTGTTTTTCTTGTGAGATAGCAGAGAAGTTACGGCGCTCTTCTCCGAAATCTCGGCTCGGCTGTGGCAGTGGCTGCAGCCGAGCCCTCGCGTTCGATTCTAGGCATGTTCGTTAATCTAGCTGCGGCCAAGTCACGCGTTTCGCGCCGACTCGTTGCGTACGTGCCACGTCTGTCCGCCGTCTGGGAAAGGGAAGGACCTGGAGAGTCTGGAGGCCGTTGCATCATGAGAACCGGCGCGGCGCGGCGCGCCGGTGCACGGTGGATTCTCCTCGCGCGCCTCGTGGGCCGGGTGTCGCGATAATGAAATTCAATGGAGCATAGCCGGGAATCGCCGTGTCGGCGTATTTGGCTCTATTTGAAGATTAGATAAGGAAAATGAGGAAAAAGGAGAAAGAGAAAGAGAAAAGGAAAGAGAGAGAGAGAGAAAGAAGGAGAGCTTTGATGAAAATTTGAATGTCTTGATCTGGGACATTAATTACAGCTTAAAAGAAAAAAGAAAAAAAAATACGATTAGAGAGAGGGGAAAAAAAGAAAACGGTGAGGAAGAATAGCAAAGAACGGTTTCTCGCGACGCGATAGGCCGACGATGCGTAACCGGCGCGGCGGCCTGATTGGGCCGTCCGTAAAAATGCACATTGCACCGTCTGGCGGTGCGACGGCGGCGGCGGAATGCAGGGTGAGAGGTAGAGAGAAGAGAATGGAGGACCGAGGGGATCACCGGCGAAAACTTCCTCCTCTCTCTCCGTCGCGCGCACCGTTGCTCCGTCTCCGTCGACATAGGAAGAGAGACGCATAGACAAGGTCAACGCATTAAATTGAAATGTGTTACGTAACCTCGTAAGAGAGTTCTAACTGCAGCCCGACTAGACACCCGGCGATTACGGGGGTGCTCAACTCGATGTATCGGATGTCTCGGACTCAAATTGTGCGAGCGACATTCGTCACGCGCTTCTCGCTTCTCTCTCCTATTGTGTCCCGCCGCGAAAGAGTTCCTTCCGTCCAGACGTGACATCCTTTCTCCCTCTCTCTATCTCTATCACCGTTTGAATCGAGCACTCTCGACATTTTTATCGCGCCGAATTATCGATCACTTATATGAAATAATTAAAACTAAAAAGACCGCTATTTAAAAAATTGCATGCAGGTTGAATAAATTGAAGATAGACTTTGACGTCTATTGAAATTTCGCAGTCGAGATTAATTTACTCTCCTTTAGGAGAGTTGCAAACTTGCAGAATAAATTGAAATAAAGTGGATGAATTAGAAATGAAGACGCTATGTGAAAGCTTCGAGGATAATAGCTGGCGGATCCTCGCTGCAACCGCGCGCACGACCGTGCGAGCGATGCACGAATGCAACGGCAACCGGCAACAGCACGCGCTCGGAGGACTCTCGAGACGGGCTACGCCAGTGCCGGCACGAATGCATTTACGCGTCTAGACTTAATAAAATAAAAGAAACGCCCGCGCACACCCGCACGAGTGGGGCTGCGAGCAGTCGTGGGGAAACGGGAGAGGGCGATTTAAAAACACAGCTAGAGACCGCAGCGGAATTTCCACTGCGTATCCTTCCTGGCTGAGAACACTATCCTAAACCTGTCCCTCGCGCAAACTTTATTGCGCCTTCAAACCTATCTCTTTATGAGAAACAATTTTATTTTCCCTATACGAAAACCGTAATATATATTATATTTAATTGACGCATTAATCATCGACACATTCATCAATTCGATTTTACGATGCTGTAACACCCACAGGTATTTATAGAGATTAAATCTCTTCAGAGATTGAAATTAAGATGAACATTTTCTTTATACATATTTTGTGCCCTGATGATACGATAGAATACATAACAAGAAATTATTTATTGACGTGCGAGGATCACAAACGCGGAATTTCCCTGCTCCACTGAGCTTTTCTTTGCTCTCCTCGACGCGATACTTTTATCGGTTCATCGAGATATTTTTACGTGACGAGGGCAACGTTTCGCTGAGAACGCCGATGCCGACCGTCGTCGACCGACGTCGGCGGATTTGCCTCTTGTGTATTACGCATCGAATCCTCTAATTTCCAAGATGCTTGCGCATACTACGCACGTAAAATGAATACGCCACTTGAAAAACTCGTGATTACTCGGCATCATGCAACAACGAGTTTACGTCAACTTCTGGAAAATTTATTTATCGCGCATACGTCAAATCATAATCTTGCTCAAGATTAAAAAATTGCAAAAAAGTAATACTATGATATGTTTGCTGCAATGTAAAAATATCCGTGGCGTTATATGTAACGAAGAACTCTAAAGGGGATTAAAGAGATATTATTGCGAAGCTTTTAAACTTTACCAATAACACATAATACAAGACTTTTGCAATCTCTTCTTGATATTTTATCAATCTTTCGGAATACATAGTAAAAATTTATATACATGTGGAAAAAAATTACGTAAATTAGTATTTGTTGATATATCATATTGTTCGCAAAATATGTATTCGCGAGGAAGAGAAAGAGAGAGAGAAAGCAAAATATCTGGAAAATTATGCAATTACAACTCCACATCAGTCTCGCTATAAGAGCATTCGCGATATAATACGTTTCATGCAATTCATGCAAAACACAAAAATAGAAGTAATGCGCAAGCTAAGCGATTGTTAAAAGTGCACTTAAAAATAAAATGGTCAAAAAAAGTCACGGCACACCGAATGCCTTACCGAATAATAAAGGCCTCCAGAGAGGCTTACCTGGCGAAGCTTGAAGTTACGTTTTCTCTAAAAGATACAAGAAGCACATATTGTAAATACTAGATATGCGTTTGCTAAGCGGAGCAGGTGATAAACAATATTTAATAAAATTATGATTCAATTATGATTCAGTGCGAGGAGAAATGTAAGTTTAAATAAAACGAAATCAGGGTGACATATAGATGCTTTTCTACCGAGATATTCATCATTGAGAGTAATGTTAAGCCACTTTCACCTTTTCCCATACTATATGCAAAAGTATTCTTTTATTTCAACTTACCCCAAACGATGAGCGCGCGCTAGTTGTTGATAGAGAGTCAGATTGGTCTGTGATGCGTTCTCAATGGAGCCATTGGCATTGGCTGTGAAAAGCTTTGTCGGATCTAAAGCATCATTCTGGTATTCCACAGTATCGTTTTCGTTTCCCTCTGGAAAGATATCAAGATTTTGCTCCTCGTCGTCTGATGTCTCATCAGTGTTGTCGTAACCCAATGAATCCGCAAAAGCCGGTATCACCCTATAAACGTCGTCTCCAACCCATTCTAGCCCCTCGTACTCGCTGATTTTTCTGTTCGTCGTATTATCTGCATCTTTGACAGACAATTTATCGTCGTTCGCTGAATCGGCAAAATCTGTTATGTTGGAAGTCGCATTTGATGTAACATTTGTAATAATAGCGCTCGTGGTAATAGGTTCCGGAAACTCTGTCGTGCTGAAGGAAAGTTGATTCTTCGGGTGATCTGACCTGACGTCTTCAAAATTCCTCAGCTGGTATACTATGGGAAGTGGAGTGTGCCCAGTAGCCGCAGAAGAAGCAGACGAAGAAGAAGAAGAAGAAGAAGAAGTAGACAATGACGAAGCGTGAAAGGAGTTTGCAACATTCCTCGCAGTCGTGTGTCTCAAGGACAAAGGAATGCGATGTTTCAAACCTTTCGACAAAACAAGGGCGTCTCTGTCTATAAATTTCGATTTTTCATCAGACCCGAAACTGGAATCGAACTCGGAATCGTCGTAGGGGATCTTGAAGATCACGTGGGGCTCCATGGCTCGGTCGAAGTCTTGATGAATGTTTTGCGACGGGTTCTGCTCTTCGGAGTTTCTTGACTCGGTTTCATAATCAAAATTCGCAGGTTCGGACCACGATTGCTGCAGCTCAAGCTTGGAAGCCAAGTTTTCGTAATCGATTACCGCTTGGCGATTATAAGCGTCAAAGTCAAAGTCCTTGTCGTAAGAGGCTTTCCCTTTGTATCGGTTCTTCTTCCTTTCGTTCCTCGCCACATCTACATCGGGGTCATTGCGAGAAGATGACTCCAATTCCATAGAATTATAATTCCAATGCTTTGCTTTGTCTCTATATAGATTCTCATTGTTGTATTTTTTTTCATTAGATTCCTCTATTTTTCTCAATTCTTCATCCTTTCGCTTATCAAGTTCTCGCTCGCGAATCGCCAGCACTTCTTCCGGCGTGTAATTCAAGCTCTTCAACAGGAGCATCTCTGCCGTGCCGAGATCACCTGTGATTATCTTCAGGATTGCCTTCTCCAACATTTTCTCTAATCTCCGAGCACTGAAGGGAATTGATCCTTTGCTATCTAAGACCTCGGAATATTCTTCATTTTTCTTCGATGATTCTGATTGTACAGTATCTGTGGTTTCTTCATTTCCAAAGTTGGATTTTTGTTCAACAAAATTTACGTGACTATTTTCTTTTCTATGTTCTGGATAATATTCATGATGATGATGATGATGGTGATGACGATGAGACCGCGCATTGGCCGTGATGGATATTAATAAAAAAAGCACGCAGAATTTAATGCTCATTGTCGCAGGTAATAAAAATGTGTCTCAAATTGACCGAGAACTTTAATGCACTCGAATGATATTCGGTTACAAGGACGATTGAAGCACTCGTGTTCCAAAAATTGAGTAATCTTGTAAGAAATAAAATAGCTTGGAATGCTCGATTTTGTCTCCAAGAATAATTTTAAACCTGAGTAGATGACTCACTGAAAAAAATAAATATCAAGCCCTGAAAATCTCGTAAAACGTGCTTGACGGCTGCAGCTTACAAGTAATCTCCAAATTTCCGGAAGAAAATAATAGCTTGTGCTTTTAAGAGAATTTTTCTCGAGATCTTCTCGCTGTTAAATTCTCAAAGTCCATTGACAAACCATTCGATATTGTGCTATGTTAGTCTGTATTTGCGATCTGTATCTCGCTCACCTCGCAGAATCACGGAAGAAGATGACAGCAAAAAGCGTGATTAAGAAAGTATCTTAATCGCGTGTCTTCTGGTTCTCTGAAGTTTCGTCGAAATTTCTTCGAGGCGATGTGGGTCTTGAAGACGTCACCGTCTCCTCGGAGCGGGTGGCTCTGTGCGATTCCGTCACCTAGCTACCTGACGCTTCTTCAAAGAGAACTCCGTAGCACGTTCAACACATGAAGAGGAAGGCACCGTTTCGTACGGAGGCGCGTTAGCAAAATGGACCGTGATTGGTCTGCCGGCAGTCGCGGACTAAGTTCTAATCGCACGAGGAAGGCGCGAGGTGCGTAAGTAGGAAGGATTCGTAGTATGCGTGTGCACGCTCTGAGCAGTAAGTCTCAACTGAGCCGTGCTGGCCAGCTCACAGACATAATTCTGTCTACTCACTAATTCCGAGACAACCACGAAGCCGCGAGAGGAGACGCGCCGGTGTGTTACTACGATGACTCCTTTTTTCTTCCCTCTCCTCCCCCTCTATCCCTCTCTTTCTTTCTCCCTCTCAATCTCTCTCTCTCTTTCTCTCTCTCTCTCTCTCCCCCTCTCTCCCTCTCTGTCTTTCTCTCCACCACCGTTGCCTCTCACGTCGGCTCCACTCTTTCTCCTCCACTCGTTCAAACCCGGGTAACCCCTTTTCGTCGCGCACCGAAATCCCGCGGAGAACAGCCTTTTCTCTCCTCGCGACGTTTTACCTCTTTCTTCTTCTGCCCCTTCTTCGCCACCGTTTCCTCTTCTTTTTCGTACACTTTTTTATATTCTTTCTCGGCGCGAATCTGCCTCCCGTTGATTATTATCAGAAATCGTGCCGAATCGAATTGGTTCCTTGACCAAATTTCTGATTGTCCTGATCTTCTTTTCCTCCGTCACTTATCTGTGATATCTGTACCGGTCATTTCAAATTTCGCAAATCGTCTTGCGGATCGTCGGCTTCGTGTCTCAATCATGCAAATACTCACGTAGCACTCAGAAATCTGTATATACTGACATGTATGTACAATGTAGATGTGGCTTTGTGGCGCAGGTGAATATTGTCAAATTTTTTCCTTCTTTCACCGCGACCGCAAATGATGCTCTACGCGCGCGCCGGGCTTTCGCTACCAAAAAATCGATCTCGATCTCCTACCGTGCGATAACTCGATCGAATCGTGGCCTCTTTTTAGCCAGGGCACCGTCACTCTCTCATATATTTCGATTAGCGCGAAGGCAACGAAAAGAGAAAGAGTTTCTCTCTCCTCTTTGTCTGTTTCCACGAAGTCTCGGTTGTTCAGCAAGATAGAGTTCGCCTGATTGAACGGCTTCAGGGAACGTGCGACGAAATGCGAGGGAACTGACGGAAAAAAAGGAGTAGCAGGTATAACGATGTACGACGGGAGCACACGAGGCTTACACGAAAGAAATGTACAAGGAGGCACGTCGTATTCGGATGGTTGTTTCAGGGGCAGCCACGTACAACTTTATAGGGTGCCTCCCTCTCCGCTGTCTAGACGAATCGAAAGATATGATCTTTGAATCATAATGTATCGCTTTTAATAAATGCAGCCTCCGCGTGCGTGCGTGAAAATACGATGCGTGGCAACGCACGCCGACGGCAGAAGTCTAAAAAAGAAAAAAGGGAGAATAAAAAGAGAAAGAGACGGCGGCCGTGACATATTCAATTTACTTCCACGTGCGGAAATCTCCATGGAAATTTGCAAGCTTCAATTGTCCTTAATTACTACAATGACTCGAAATTTTAATCAGAAATCTTTAATAAAGAATTAGACTAAGATGTAAGTAAATTCAATAAATTCAGATTTGTCATGAAAGAAGAAGAAACTATTTATATATTTTCAAATCGACTGCAGAATTATCTTTGATATATTGTAAAGTAAAAATAATGTAATTTGTAATTTATTTTTACGAAGAGATCAATTATTATCATATTCGAGGATGGAAAGTCTGAATACGTACGTAGAGTTCTCGCTCCTACCCCCCAAAAAGGTCGCAAGCAAATTGTTGCGACAATTATGTTAGATATTCAACGTACATCATTATTTTTATCTGATGTAAACTATCGCTATAATACGATATTTTAAAAAATGTAACCTAATGCATATTCTTCAAATTTATTCACCGTGATGAACGTATGAGAAAAAATATAGAACGGTTGCTATAAACAAATCGATGAATCGAGACCGAGACGTAGCCACTTATTCACCCCTGTTCAAACCAGGCTGGTTGACGTAGAAGCACGTGGGTCGAAAGAAGTGCAACGGTGTTTCAGATACACACATGTACCCACACACGTTTTTCATACCTTATACTTAATCTCGCACACTTTATACATTTAAATTGCGTATGAATGAGTGCGTGTGACGTCTGCAAATCGAATATGTATTTTCTAAATACATTTATAAACTTCACTGAAATCTATTTTATAAATCGCTTCTTTTCGTTCGCTTAAATCGTAACTGTCAAAGAATTCAAACAAATATTTCGAAGAACTATTCTCGTCGAAGGATATGATCGATTAACAATCCTATTTCATTTATTTTAATTTAAAAAAATACAATATTTTACTTTGTCTCAGTCTTAGTCTCTCGGCTACTTTCTGTAACTGGAACTAGAACTAGAAACCGCGAATCAGTGGTCAAAATTATCCGACGTTAGTGAAACTAGCTATTTCTAGCTCTAGTCTCAAGTGGGAATAGTGAATCGGTAAAGCCACCGTTATTTCTCGCTTCTGTCCCCCTTAGAAAGAGACAAAGGATGAGTTAAGCTAAGGTTAAAGTTACGCGACGTTGGTGAAACCGGCCCTCAGACTCGGAAGACACGTCGGGCACATAAAGTACCCACGTGCGATCACGCGCGGGCGTGCAGACACGCGGGCTTAACTGCGTACGACATGTACGTCGGAGGGTTATAGGGTGAGCGAAGGAGAGACACACGATGCAATTTGATCTCGCGTGCGAGAGAATGGCGCGGTGGCGGCGGCGATGCAACGGCTGCCTGACGTCACCACCGAATTCTCCGTCGCGGATCGGACATGCGGACAGACAATCTGGCGTCTAGACGTACCAAAATAAATAATGCGCCGGACCTCGCCTCGCCAAGTCAAATTGTTGTTTCGCACACTCGTAATACTCGTCGTTTGTCGTCCTTATCGGTAGCATGTCCCACCGCCTCCTGTTGGCTCATGGGGGATGCTACGAAGAACCATCTGAATGAGAGTCCCTCCGCTTCGCTCGACTCATCAAGCGACGCGTCGATCAGACTGCGGAGTCACAGTAAAGAAATCTTTCTGTTATATCGTTGAAAACTATTCGTGATCTGACCGTGATTAATTGACGAATGATAAAAAATTTCGACTACTTGAACCGGATCGTCCGGATCGTTTGAATACCACTTAATTCGATCATCAAGTATCTATCAACACCGATGTGTTCTTTTATTAAAAAAAAAAAAAGATTGAAAATAAATATGCAACAGGTTTTTCGCAATCATAATGGGACTTGAGCATAACAACCGGCATAATATGTCCGACAGTGTTTCTTGGAATTGTTTTCATAGCCCGGAGGGAGGATAACATGTAAGGAGGATAACACGCGTTGGCTGTTCGATGGCGACGCAGTCGATGCAGACAACATCGGGGAGAGAGCAACATATCAGAGCAGAAAAACCCGCGGGTAAACATCGGGCTTCTGGTCTCTCGGAGAACATGGTCTCACCTGGCGTTGAGTTGAGTCGCGGCGCGGTGCATCCGAGATACGCCTTCCCTAATGACAGAGTCTTCTTTCCTCTGGGCCTTCTCTTTCTGCTTCTCCCCCGAGAAGCACGAGGGACGTTCGAGTGAGAATTTAAGACGCTCTGCCCACGCGCGCCAAATTATTCCGCCTTATGCCCGTTTCCTCCGATCAGAATTGTAAAATGTAAAAAAAAAAAAAAGAATTCCACCGACACTGTCCGGCCGATCTGACCAGCGCGGCTCGGCGCGGCTCGGCGCGGCGCGGCGTGGCGCGAGGACTCGCGAGACGGCTGTGGCGATGGTAACGGGGAAGGAGGAAGATGCAGAAACAGAACAAAAAAGAAATGGAAATCGTGCAATTTGCATGGTCTCTCCGGCCAACACTCGGCCCTCGATGTCTTCGCCTGCGAGAGAACGGAGGCAGACAGCAATCAAGATAAGGTCTCTCTTCTCGGGATCCGTCAGGGGATACTACGTTCTCGGTCCGCCTTCCCGATTCTCCGATCGCTTCGTGGAATCGGGATTTGAATTTCGGAGTGGATTGCGCAATCCGCGCGTCGGCACCCACGCGTGGGCGCGCAACGCAATCGTTTTCAGACCAGACGGTCATTTTAAAACCTGCCTATCGGGAACACGCAAATCGCCGGAGGACTGAGGAGAGATCTCCCTGTTTTCCCCCTCTTTATCCCTAGCTCACTATTGCCTCTCGACTCTTCGATATTTCACGCTTGTTTCGTAGCGCAGACGTACACTTTAAGACCGAAATGCGAGACGCATTTTTATAAACTTTCTAAGCTAAGCGTAAACCCCTTTTTGCATGTGCACATTTTTAAAACGGAAAGTTCAAAAGTCATATATATGTATAATATGTATATCTCATAATCCTTAAATTTTAAATAATTAAAAATGAAATATTTCTTGCAAATTATATGAGAACAGAAAAAGAGAGAGAAACGCGCATATATAAATCATAAATTGCTAAATTTAACAACACTATTATAAATATTACAATTAAATTTAGATCTGTATCTCTTTTGCAAAAAATAGATTCCTAATTGATAAAAATAAGTGCAGAGATCCGAGTATCTCAAATAAAGTTTTCATTTTTAAATAAAAAATATAACAATGAAATTAAGAGAAGGACGAATGTCGGAAGTGATGTAGGAGAATTACAAGGTGGAACACGAGCTGTATAGCCGCCGAAGGGTGTCGCGTGCTGCGACAGACGATGATGGATGAATCGGCATTCCAACGAAACGAGAGTAAAGAAGGAACACGAGAACACGAGGAAGGAAGCGTACGCGCAGTTACGTATGCGTTCCGTCTGGTTAAATCGCATAATGACGAGATGCTTAATCACGAATTATGCCACGTACGCGACAAACGATTTCGTCGTCGCGCATCGCGATTATGTAACTCCAACTTGTAACATTTCGACCAGTGCCACGATCTTCTTTTATATAACGTAATAAATTCCACAATATCCTTAATAGGATATATCCTAATGTAATAAAGTAATCTTTATTACATTAGGAAGTAGAAAAGTTATATTGATTTATAACAAACGGAATCAAATAAAAAATAAAAACTGTAAGACATACCGCACATGAAGCTGTTGAAGCTGACAATGTAAAAATCATCTGTTTGTAAGTCTTGTTATTAGTTCAGATTTTATAGGCTCGAATGACAAGACAAAGTTGTGTACGCATTTCTGTTCTATAATAATGAAATGGTGAATGGTTGAATTCGACGCTCTTGTTTTCGAGCCAAGGGAGGCGATAAGAAATGACGGGACGTCGATGTTGATGACGCGAAAAAGTCGTTCCAAGGGGACGTTTGAAATGGGCGAAGACGGCGGGAAGTATAGAGTAATGAAGGAGAAGGATGATGGAATTTTGCCGGAATACTTGATTTTCCTGTGCTCTACTCGTGTGTCCAGTATCAGGCAAATCAGCAGGTACTATTTCCACGCGCGAGGCAGTGAGTCCGCATTTCCGCGCGTCTCGGATTCGTCTCGGAGAATCGTGACATTATTCGACATTGATACGATGGCTTATCACACTATCCACGGTGATTTCAACAATTAATATCATAAAACGCATAGCTCGTCAGTCGCCACGAATGTACGAGTTATACGGTTTTCAAATTTGCTTATTTATGTTGCTTTTGGCACGATGCCAGAAATCTAAAACTGGCTCGCCTAGCTACGCTACTACGTGCGCATAGAAAATAGAATAATTTTCGCATGGAGTTATCAAGGCCGCACAGTAAGGCAGACGTAAATAGAAAAAGATCTATTGCCTAAATATATAGTCTGGACTTATGGTGATCAGATGGAGCAATGTAAATATATGCTGTGTAACGCAATAAATAGATCGGAGTTTTAATATAGTTAGTTTGTAATCAAGTAAAATTTACTATAAATTTTAATAGAAATCTTATTATTTTAATCGTTTCCTGTAATTATGTAAGATAACAAAATGTTGAGGGCTAATTTCTTTCCTCTCAAAAACCTTTGTTCTCTTCCTCGAGTAGCAGCAGACTATACCGTTTGTAAATACCACGAAGTCTAAAACATTCGGCAGACTAAACACATTATTACGTCATATGACAGTGTCGAAAAGGGAGCCCAAGCAGAATATAATCCACTAGTGAAAGTAGACCTTACGTCGGCGAGAATTATTTCTGTTTATATCGTAAAAATTACGCTGATCTAATCAAAACATTTACGTGACAATTCATAAAACTCCGCTGTTTATGATATACAGAGTGCATAAATCGAAAACAATTGAGAAGGTAGCGCGGCTTTAAAAAAATGATTTTTACAGAACAGCACTCTTCTTACAACTTACTAATAGTCTCGCCCGAGAAATGGAATTAAGTAACTCGACTTTATCAAACGGAAGGGAGAACGCTTACAGCGAGGAAGAACTCGATCCGTCGTGCATCGCTTCAAACAAAAATTCGAACATGATTCTCGGCAAAATAATGTTCTCTCGTCGCGTCGTCTCGACGAGATAAGCTCATCTTCCCGATTTTTTTGTTCCTCGCCAGCAGCCAGACAGTTTAGCCTTGAGAGCCTCCGATTACTCGGACTTCCTGCTCCGTGATTTACGGGACAATCTATAGCTCTGTATAGATTTAAGATAATAAATATGTAGGGTATCACACGCGAAAAATAGATCATGCAAATAATATTTTAACGTTAAACTCTTCAACTAATTTAGGATGAGTTACTTGATTGTATTATCGAATATATACCGCAAAATATACCATATCACTCACTGCATATTTTTAAATAACAAATGCATACGATTTTCCAAAATTAGATCGTTACAAATACTATGAACGCAATGCAATTATATGTACTATATAAAATATATATTCTCTTGTATTTCGAATTTCCATGTTCTCCGTATCTATATAATTAAAAATAATTATACTTTATTTTCCTAATTAATTATAGGTTTGATTTTTTTAACATATTGCACCCCGAGAAGAATACTTTCACAAATCAAAACATTTCAATTTTGAATTAAGCCCATAAAAAGTATGCCCAAGATGTTACCTATATCCTATAATAAGTGTTACAGGTCTATATGCGAAATCCGCTGCATGAAGCAGAAGTGTCGTTATTCTTTTAAACTGGTTATGTTGCGGTTTCCTGGATATATAGTATCATAAGTGAATTGACAAGTAAATCACAGCATACCTCTTCAAGAAACAGTATAAGTTTTATTATAACAAAATATCATAATCGTAATTGCGTTAGTCATCTCACAATTCAAAAAAATTGAATTAAATTTGTTTTTTTTTCTCTTCTGAAAACTGTGAATTTTTTAATTGTGCACAACTCAAGATAACTATATCTAGATATAAATAACAATTGTGATACGTTTAACATTATCGTTAAATGTATCCAAATGGCCTCGCATTGGCTTTCTTAATATCGTCAAAACGTAGGTAATTTTCTGCCCGTTAAAACAATATTTTTTTATCGTCTAAGGAAACAAAAACGTTTCTTGCAATTATGTCACGGTCATTATATTACGCAATCATACATAATGTCTATTTCAAAACATTTTTTCCTTTGTTACAGTCACGGACTGTGCGCGATGTATAGCTTTGTCTTCCGGTTTAGTTCTCCAGTTTCCACGTCTCGTCCAATTCATCGGCAATACCGATCAACTGCACGCTCATACATTTGAGTCGTGGCGACGTAGGAATTTTTATGTACCTGTTTAGGTTGCATTTCACGCGTCGGACCTCGCAGCGATCCGTTATGACACGTTATGTGATGGTGGCACGTGTATGCATGCGAGAATGACAGGAAGCAAAATGCATTTCGATATTTTCTATTCGATTCTTGATATCAATCTAACAAATCGCTCTTTGTTTCTCATTAACGATGAGATAAATTTGAAAAGGACCTGTAGGCCTATTCTGTAACTCTTAACGACAGTTTCGTTATCGTTATATTTACGTTGCGCAGATATTGTATATGATAAAAAGCTGTACAACGACAATATAAAGATAACGAAACTGTCATTGAGAATTACAGAATAAGCCTACTGGTTCCATTAACAAATTGTGTGATAGGTGTAGATAGAGGAAATGTATTCAAATGTCATTTCCATCAAAATATTTCAAGTGTTAATTTAAAAGATAATGTTGCCACCGTATCATTGCATGAAGTAAACAGAATTATTATATCACGCCAGTAAGTGGCCGAAAATTTTAAGGATATTACGTAAGAATGATGTAAGAAATTACATAAATTATACATATAAATTATACATTGTGTAAACGTTTCCTAACGCGTTTTCCAAGACATGTAAAAAAGAATATTTCCAATAAACTAGAGGTATATCTATAAAATACATATATTTTAAGATATACAATACAACAAGCGATGAAATTTATAATTACAATTATATGTAAGAAAAGTCTTGTAGTATATGTATTTTTTTACAAACAAGCATTCTTCTATCTTCGTGTATCGTAAATAACACAATGCTTATTGATGTTCAAAATCAAATAATGTTTACTTTTTTATTGGCCAAAAAAAATTTGATATAAAATTTGAAATAAAGCTCTTTAATAAAATATATCTAATTAACTGCGACAAGTTTGCAATCCTCAGAGATATATATTTTGCCAAATGTGTGAATTATTTCAAAAAATTTATATTTTATATAAATCGGAAAAAAATGAATATAATAAGTATATTGTAGATAATAATTAAAATAGAATTGAAGGTTTAAAAAGCTGGTTTCAAGATAATCACCACAAGAATTCATAAGTGAAAGGAAATGTGATGAATCTGAGACGTTCTATACCTCAGCAAAATCCATCATAGTTTCACGATTGCAAAAGAGGATTCACATTATCTTTTTTCATTCAAAATGTCACAGTAAGAAGGGAGTATCCCCACTCGTATTCCTCGTACCTCGTTGTGCCTTGCACAACGGCTATATCTTGTCACCGATTTTCAGTAGTTCTTCGGGCGTCTTATCATGTTGCACGTAGTTAAAAAGCAATATCTAACGTTTTTACAGTGTACATGTTTTTTATTTGCCATCGAAGAATTTTCTTCATGCAATGCAGTTCAAGCATTTATCGCAAAACATCAATACGTCAACGGAAGCAGATAATCTGATTAATTGATATTGAAATTGTGATAAAATTATTATCAAAAGTTTTATCAGTTTACAAGTTAGAAAAGCGATTTAACAAGGATCAATTTGAAAAAATTTTCAGATAATTAATCAAACTATATTACTTTGTGTTATTTAATACATGAAAATTACAATAGTGTGTGCCGATTACCTACATTCAAACTACGGTCAAGGTTTTGCAACGTTTTGTTATCAACGTTATCTATTGGTGCGACTTCAATGAGATTACAAAGTATACGAGAATTATGATTCCCTCGCATGTCGCGAAACACATTCTTTCATTTTGTGTCAGTATAGCGAAAAGAGCATTGAAAAGAAACTACATGTATACACATATTTTAATAAAGTGTGGTGAAAAGCAAGTGATATGTCTGGAAGAGTAAACCTGGCATTTGAAGTAATTTCTCTTTTACTATCAATAATTTTTACCAAATAATTCATAAAACGTATAATCAGTAAGATTTTCTAAATATTCAAGAATATATTTTTTATTGTTCATATTCAAGAATTTTTTATTGTCAAGAATATATTTGTTATACTTTCGATCAATAGGACAATCGATTAGATATATTAGAAGATGGTCGCCGGGAAAGTGAACCTATGCATCAGGTAAGCATATTTTCATTTTATCATCATAGCGGAAAAAAACTTGCTCGAATAAGTGCTCAATCATCCAACTATAGTTTCTAACGTATTTCTGCGCGTAAATAATTGAAGATAATTTACATGAACAAAACGCAGAATATATAATTTGCTACAGTTAAATAAGTAATACTACTAATGTAACGTTATTTACATATTCACTTCAACTAGAAATTAAAATAAACAGGACGTAGAAACTTTACATTACTGCCGTTCAAAATTTTGCATAGTAAATATAAGAATAATCCAAAGCAATATTAGTATATAGTTATGTTATTTTCACAGAATACTAATTCTTATCGTAAAGCAAAAAAGCCTTTGGCGACTACCAGCAATGCGATCAATGCTTATCTTTCAAAACATCGAAGGGTTTTTAAGACTTTTAGTGTAACAATTTTAAACCTTCTTGTCATAGCCTATGTAATCTATGCTGGTATATATTGGAAAAATAATCGTGAGTATTAATTTGTTTCAGCAAAATTTAATTTTGATTAATTAATTGATAAAATATTAGTTAAATTTACATAGCGAATTGACATAACAATACGTTTTTCTTTTAGAAAAAGATTGCGATTTTCAATGGTGTAAAGGCTATGGTTTACTACTCATACTTGCAGGACTAACTTATCTTGGCTTATTTTATTTTTTGATTGTAAAACGATATTTTTGGAAGTACATCTTACAATGCTGTCAGCCAGCAACGAATTCCTTGGAGCGCTTGCGAAATACCAAGTAAGAAATTATTATTATTTGATCCGATAATATATAGAAATTATTTTTATACTGACATGAACATTTTTAGATATGGGACGCGCATCGGAATGACGACTCTTTATTTAATTATACTAATAGCCATCATTACTTTTCTTATCATCGATACCGCAGGATCAAGATACAGGCTAACTAGTATTCTCTGTGTCATCGTCATATTAGGATTAGGTTGGATGTTCTCCAAACATCCGGGACAGGCAAGTAGATTGTATCTTGAAGCTTAAGTCATGTAGTTATATAAATCTCCGACTCCGATCATATCTATATCAATTATTACATTGATAGAAAATGGATTTCTTCTCGCTGTTGCTTGAAGCAAATCTACGAGAGATCAATTGATTCGTGGATTTTATATTTTACTGTAATAATTATTCCCATCTGTCGCATCGGCTCGAACGCGTTCCAATTATGATGACACATACATGAGTGGTGTCGGAGAAAATTGCTGAAGGCATGTGGATAGCCGCGTCGCCAATTCCGCTGGAATTAACCCACTTCATTAAATCGTCTAATGTACTTAATGCACGCAGATCTCTTGTTTATAAATTTTGTGTGTGTAGTATACGTCATATTCACATAATTCAGTATTCTATTCTTCAGCAAGGTATTCTACTTTTCAGAAGAGAAAAGAAAAAAATCGAAATACAAATATAAAATAACTTAAATCTTTTTAATAAAATGTAAAATAGTTCCTTTTATTTTTTTGTGGCTTCTAATTATTTTAATAATTTTGTTAAATGTAGATCGATTGGAGACCTGTCATTTGGGGCTTGATTTTACAATTTATATTTGGACTTATTATGCTTCGATGGTCTGTTGGTCATAGCATTTTCGACTGTGTATCTGGCAAAGTGGTCACTTTCTTGGATTATGCTAAAGCTGGCGCCAACTTTGTATTCTCAAAGGAAATAGTTGGCGAGGGAGTCTTCGCTTTTGCCGTTAGTTAATTTGCATTATTGCGTGTATTTAGAAATATAAAATAATTAATTTTATTATTAGGAAATTTTTTCATTGCTTCATTTATCTTTATAATTGCTTTTATTTAATTTTTAATTTTGTATTGTTGCAAACTATTACTACTATTAGTATAAATTGGTCCATTAGGTACTGCCTGTGATTTTTTTCTTCAGCTTCGTGGTACAAATTATGTGCTATCTCGGTATAATGCAATGGATTATCGTGAAATTAGGATGGATTTTGCAAAGCATAATGGGTACAACGCTGTGTGAGTCATTATCTGCCGTTGCTAATCCTTTCATTGGGATGGTAATATTATTACATTGTTTAAATAATTTAAAAATAAGTCGTTTGTATTCTCACATAATATTTTTAATTCCAGTTTAAAGCTGCTAACTTATTTTGTCTTTTAGTCCGAATCCCCCCTTCTGATTAAACAATATATCAATCAATTGACTTCTTCAGAACTACATGCTATATTGAGCTCAGGATTTTCTACGGTTTCTGGTTTGTCACACACGTTTCATAAGTATAAGTCACTGATAGCATTTTAAATTTCAATTTATAATTGTATTTGCCCACCCGTGTTTGCAGGTACGGTATTGGCCGCTTATATAGAATTTGGTGCTAAACCGGTCCATTTAATAACCGCTTCCATAATGTCTGCACCGACTTCTTTAGCCTATTCCAAGCTATTTTATCCAGAAACTGAGCAAAGTCTCACAAAATCCGAAAATATAAAACTTGAAAAGTCGTAAGTGCTTTATAAATCACTTATTATTTATCGATCATCATCCAATCATTAGTCATACAATTAATATAATGGCTGTTATTAAAACTTTTACAATTACAATTACTTTTACAATTAGATCGGACACTGGTATTTTGGATGCCGCAACGAACGGTGCATTAGCAGCACTCCCAATCGTTTTGGGCATAATCGCAAATATCGTAGCTTTTGTATCCTTCGTTGCATTTTTAAATGGAATTCTCTCTTGGTTCGGTGGTCTGGTTGGTTTAGAATTAAGTCTCGAGGTAAAATAATTTTTCGACGCTGCTTTTTCCAGCTTCTAAAAATATATTCTTTTGGGCAGATTTAATAATTGTAGTTTTGCAGATCATATTGGCGAAAGTTTTTATGCCACTAAGTTGGTTGATGGGCGTTCCTTGGGAACATTGCGAAGTTGTGGGGACGTTGATAGGTTTGAAGACAGTGGTCAATGAATTAGTCGCATACCAAAGGATGGGCGAATTCAAGGAGCAGGGCCTATTATACGGAAGATCGGAAGCAATAGCCACATTCGCGATCTGCGGTTTCGCGAATCCAGGATCAATTGGCATTCAGGTCGGAGTTTTTTCGTCTTTGGCGCCAGAAAAGAAAGAGCAAGTAACGAATGTCGTTGTGCGAGCCTTTGTTGCTGGTAGCGCCGTCTGTTTTCTCACAGCTAGTGTCGCCGGTAAAGTTGAAATCCCGATTTGATTTTATGACTGTATACCGCTTCCTTTAAGTTGCATCGAATATTACATTATCGAATTTTATTTTATTATTTCAGGTATGTTAATCGATGACGCTTCATTATCTTCCGCAAACATTACAACGACAATACCAAATGTCACTTTAACGACACTAACTTCGTTAGATATAATTTGAAAAAGTACATATATACATTAAAATTAGGAAGCTGCATCACAGTGATATATACATAATCGCATTAAAATTCATATTTTGATCTCATCTTTAAAATCTTTCACTTTGAGAAGAAATAGCAGTACGCAAAGAATTGCTTTTGCGAAGTAATTGTAAGCAAATAATATTGCAGATACTAACGATAGTAAAAGGAGAGATAAATAAATTTTGTTACATTCTTTTTATCAGTAATAAGTTTTTATACAACATCAAAATATAGTTTATAAATAGCACACACACAAGATCGAGTCTGACCGGAAACGATGCTTAAACCTAGTAAAATAAATTTCGAGCGCAATAACACATCCTAAGTTAAATTGACAAGGTCACATTACATAAGTGATATACTTATTGTACGCTTGTGCCATTATTTGTACGTCGTCAGTATAATAATTGTACATATATCGATTATAAAGCAATACATAATCCCAAAAATAAGCATACTTATTTATTCAAAATTAACTATACAATTGATAATATCGTAATGCAGTAATATCACAATATCTCGAATATGCGAAATGCCACGTGCCGTGCTTCAAAAACTCAAAAGATCAGATAAAATATTGTTTTTATTTGCTGTGATCGCTTACGGTAGAGTATGCAATTGGTAAGTTTTATAAATGCTGTCAGTGCGGTTGAACACGTCGGCAGTCACCTCCAACATTTTGGGCAAAATGTCTATGTTCCGCTGAACATTTTCACCACAAACCTGAGAGTGCAAGTGAAATAAATCATTCAAGAAATTACCCGTAAGATAAGTTAACCTGGTTACCTTTTTGAATAAAGCCTCTCTAGTAGGCATAGTGTACATCGCAACTATTGCAGCTTTTCTGATCACCCATGAATGATGCTTGGCCAGAGTTTTGTTATATGCGTCTTGACAACAACAAACTGTTTTATCAATGTCTGTGAGATCATTCAGTTGTTGTAAAAATTCTCTAATAAAATCTAGAAGACCAAACAACATAAGACAGGCTGCAAATTTCTAAATAGTATCAAGGGATAACGATGTAGTAGGTACCTAAACCTCTATGTAGTCGCAATAAAGTACGTGAGCCATTGACAAAATCGGCTTTCTCTAAAAGTTTGTTTTCTCTCTCATATTCAATCATAGATTTAATAGTCGTATAGTTCTGAGTGTTTTTATTTATCAAGTCAGTCAAGACGTCTATCTTTTGCTTCAGATCAGAAGAGACAAAGCTGAAGACACTGCCCATCAGCTGAAAAAATCTGTGTGTGCACGTAGCATGTTACGAAACACATATCTTATATAGATGTAATCTCAAATCTGATATAGACTAATAAAAGATAACAATTATTCTGCTGAGTTAACGAGGCAAACAGAAGATAAAGACAATATATGTAATTCATATATTAAGATAACACATAATGTAGCAAATATTTTTAATGCAGTAATGTAAATAATTACTTAGTATAACGCGGTTATTTGCTTTTAATTATTTATTTCACTTTGACATGTCGCAAAGATGTCGTAGATTAGCTATCAAATGTCAACCGTAATAAGTCAAAAAACCCAATCATTTGAAATCCATACATGATATAGTAAGGTTATGTTAGATAATGTTAGATAACACAAATCAGCGATTTAACTTACTTGTATAGTTCATTGTAGGCCTCTAAGTATGCTTTTAGATCGACATCATCATTTTCCACGAGAGCTTGATCAAAATGATCGTGTACCGTTCGTAAATCGAAGAAACTTAATTCCGGCCCCTCCGCCATTATAGAGTTACTGTATTCAACCCAACAAACACTAAATCGAATCTGCTTTTGCGCCACGTTACGATTAAGTAGTTACGTTATCTCCTTGAATCCGTTAAATTGTTGAAATCAGACATGACCGTCTGCTTATCACATTAACAGATGGTGCATGACGTATTCAACATTGTGACGGCGTCATTTTAAGATAAATGACAGTTTATTCTCGCACTTATCATTTGAGCATTTACGTTCATAATTCGAAGCTATTCCGTACAACCAGAGAAACCTGAGCCATCTACCAGCCATCCACCGGTCTGCGTTTAATCCACCGGCCATCCACCGAACACGAACCATTAGCACGGACGCGAACCAAACGACGTAGTTGAGTCGCACTTTCTCAGAAGACGCATCGGAAAATGCGTTCTCAGTAATAAGAACAAAGGGATGGCCTCTCTCAGGTTTCTCTCTGGTACAACAAAGAACGAACAGAGAAATGCAACCTAGCGCACTCTACTTAAGGTCATATCTAATCTTCACACGATACATTATTATTGAAGTGTGTAAAATATATACATATATGTGCATAATAATATATGTAGTTAATTTATATATGTATAATATGTTTAAATCGTCACATCTTGCCAGTAATTTGAGATAAAAATAGGTTTAGAAAGATAAAAATTCAAAGAATAAAAATGAAAAGGAAGATAGTGATGGAAGGTAACGTCCACGATCAAGACATATTTGAATAATATAAATCAGACAGAAAAAAATCGCTATAACGTCTTTCTCGCAAAGTTGCTGCTGTATTAGATAATTTGAGTATGCAATCTCTATCATGTTTTTTTGCAATAATAAAAAAATAATGTAGAGAAAAAGCGTTACCAATTGAAGAAAAACAAGATATTTCGCTAAACAATACACGTTCGAATATGGTTGCCTACATAGTACCGTCATCCTCCACGAGAAGCGCTACATTCGAACTCATTATAAACTACTATATATTCAAACTAAGCAACATTTTATATTGTAAACGAAAATATATACGTACTTAAACATGTCTGAAAATTTAATTCAATAATGAAATTTCTATATCGTGGAAATATCGTACTTTGATTTTCCTATCAAACACAAGCATAACTGAATAAAATACACGCATAGCTGAAGACTACGTCTTTCAATACACAGCAGAAATTGTATTTGCACATTATTTACTCCCGACCTCTATTTGTCGAACAATCGCCGTGTGCATTTACCGATTTGGTTTCAACAAGGGGAACTGGGAAACGTCTGCAAATATCTTCCCACCTCGTCTTCGGCTTATTTGGACCGGAATATTTTAGCATTTCTATGCACGTGAATGAGATAAAAATACGCGCTGACAGAATTTTTAAGCTCAACTTTTCTCTTCAGTTAATATCGAAATACAGAATAGAATCATCATTTTTGCATTCTCTCATAATTATAAATTTTGGTATAATCGTAATATAAATTTACTTCGTGATAATTATGTGAAACATATTAAATATGTATAATCATATATGTTAAAAGAATGCATAAAACAAAAATAATATTCTATTTTATTCTCCTCAGTCTTTATTTCTCCAAGTAATTGTCTGCCTAATTTGATCATTCATTCAACTGTGCGTTTGATAAATTGAATTTATCACATGTTCGGCGGCCCATTCCAAGTATTATTACTGCATATTGATGCAATTCATGGCACACAGTGGTGCTCAGAGTTGCGTAGTCATTGATATCGTACGTGACAGGGAAACATAAACAAAGAATACTAAAATCTCGCTGACACGTCGGTTCGTATAGGTAACCGGTCTCCCTGTGGGCGTTAAATAATTCACCACAACTGGGACTGAGAGTCGGACGAGAAGCGGGGTTTGCGGAGGAACGAAGGAGGCGGGGTTGGTTGAAGAGCCGATTAAATATTCAGATGTCCCTCAACGCAAATAGAGTAAAGTCAAGCGCGACGTCGAGCGCAGAAGCGCATGTAATCTAAAAACTAATGCGAGGTCGAAACGAAAACAGATCTTCACTTCTGATAATAGACTTCTTACAGCGTTGCGACGTATGTATCTCTGGCAGATCGTTTCCAAAAATCCTGCCGATGAAGAAGAAGATTGCCGAGGGATATCGTCCTCGCGGAGAATCGCGATGAATATTCCGGTCGGACAAATGTGCCATGGAAGTTTTTACGACAGCTACACATTTCCGGTCAAGCGATCTCACGGGGCGCCGACTTCAACGACCAATCGCACAACGTCGTAGCTGCGGCGCATAAAAATATGTCACTAGGGTGCCGTAATATCTCCGTTGTTGAGACTTATTGACGAGGAAATACGCCGTGCTCCCTGGTCTTGATTCCAGGGCAATAACACGCTCAGCGATCGTATCTTCCCTCAGTGGGCACTTTTGTTCCTTTATCGCTTCGCTCTCGAAAACATGAAACCGACCGCCGGCCGGCTAAAAAGAATCGTTCAACGAGGCGTGCATCGCTCATCGTTCTAATTATCTCAGTAACCCAATCTATCCGTCGCGCCCCGTGTCTTGGCTTCCCGCCTCCCTTCGGAACTTCTCGATTCTCTCGTCGTCTCGGTCTGCCGCCGCGCCGCGCCGGCCTAGCAGCAACCCTCCTCGACTCTTCTCCGCCGTCGTTGCCATCGTCTTTCGTACGCGGCGATCATCCTTCTTCGTCTTTCTTCGTCCCATTCACATTGGACGTCCGGTCGCATCCTTGTCTCTTCTCCTCTCTCTTCTTAATAGCTCGCCATCTTCTTCTTTCGATCTCGTAGTCTAACTGCGGAATCGTCGACGACCGCCCATCTAAGTTTAACAATTAACGCTCGAGCGGGGAAAAATAAATTAATTGCACACAGCCGGCGCGCGAGACATGTCACGAACATTCGATCTAATCGACGAAGATTCCTCTATCTGGTATAGAAGATAAATAGGATTTCTTTTGCCTACTTTGCGGTTAAAATATTTTTTTATGCGTATACTCTTGTATCATCTAGTTGTTTATAACTTTACATAAGATTAACATGTATATTGAAATGTGTTGAAATACTGGTTGATTGATTTTTAAGAAAACTGTATTATCAAACTTAATTCTAAAAATTAAATCATAAATGGATCTTTGAAAAAATGTCGAAATCGTCGTATCTTCGCCCTCAATCTTTCTCCCTTTCTCATCGTTCTTTTGTCCCGATTGTCAGGGATGTCAGAAACGACAAGACGACAACTAGCGGGAGACGAGAAGGGTGTTTGTCATATGTCGATAGGCGTCAGAATTGACACATTCGCCGAGTGCGAAACGGAAGTGGCGTTTGGGGCGACGTACTAGAGGGATTCGAGGGTGCAAGACAGATAAATATTTGAGGAATTTGTTGTCGGATGAAGGCGGCGTAAGAGACTCATCGCTTGTTTGGTGGTTCTGTAAAAGGAATTTGGAGTGACTTTTATAGTTTTGCATATAGAAGATGCCAAAAACTGCCAAGAATATATATATTTTTTAAATTTTAGTTTATATTGTCAATCATCGTCAGAAAAGTGAGATCTTGTGAAGAGCGTGATGTTTGCTTTACTTTGTGCTTAAAGTATGCTACAATTAATATCTGATTACTTATTGTTCAAGGAGGAAGAAATGCTAAATTTTAGCAAAGTGCCAGACGTGAATGGAAGAAAGACACAACAGACGGAGGAGCAATGAGAAATTTCTAACCCTTCGATATACAGCGTTACACCCTCGTGTGCGGTTCGTAGGAAAAGTTTTAGGTGAACTGCGTACGAGGGTTGGAGACAGACCTTTTCGCAAAAGGGTCTAACGACAGTTTTGTATCCCATGGAAAATCACTGTCAACCAACAAGAGTCTGTAAAGTGTCGCATTATACAAATACATACATACGCACGCTTGTAGAGTCGTAGTCAAAAGTGCCGATAATCGCCGCGTTGGAAACATTTCTAGAATAAAAATATGCAAAGTTTAATTTGCGAAATGTACAAATAAAGATATAAGTACATTTAAAAATTCATCTTGTGTCTAAACATTTATGAGCATTTAATATATTTTAAATAATAACGCATTACATATGATTAATCGATTTCTCTTTACTGTGGTACTATATAATAAATATTTAAAAATGTATTGAGATACATATTAAAAATTATCTACACAGAGAGAGCCACAAATCAAAGTAATTGAAGCAATTTTAATTTAAACTTTTGTCAATGACCGTACGTGAAGTAAAGGCGCATACTCTCACATACACGTACACACACTTAACGGCGGGATGTAACAGATACAGACGGCGCCTGCGAAAAGCCCGGATACCCAGGGTAAAACGAGCCTGGGAAGTTCATTAATGGATTAAGAGTGCTCGATCGATACGATTAGCGCGACGTGGCCAGCCGCTTCTGATATGCACAACATGCATTCGAACGTAACCTAGAATCCATGATTTTGTCGTGCATAGAGGTGATTAATTGGAAAACAGGGAAATAAAAACGTTTCGTGAAAAGAATTATGTTGTCAATTTGACTCCGGATGACTACATTGATCTGAATCGCTAGTATTTCAATCACGTTTTTTTATGTTACGTAGAAGATCGAAACAGAGCGTTTGTTATATTTCATTCTAGCATTAGTGAGATTATAAAACTATACTACTTAATAAATGTAATTATTTTAGAATGGCAATATCGTTTTTATCGCGCGATATAATTAAAAAATATATTAGAAACCAATATATTTATCTCCCACCACGCCACGAACTATCACAGCTTCATATCGATCTTCGGGATTAATATGAGTGCCGTGTAACACACATCCCCCTAGTCCTTCGCATGGGGTTGAATTTTAAAACTATCCTCCAGAGAGAAGCAGGAAGCTCTGCGTCTTTTGAAATCAGACTGTGTGCGGTTCTGTTCTTGCGTAAGGAACTACATATCCCTCGGGATCGCGCATCGATATATGCGTATATCCCTCGTTGTCATTCAGAAGACTGACA